TCTGCAAATTGAAGACCGGTATAAAGTATAAAAAGAAAAAGAGCGAAAGAGTTAAAAAAAACCATAAAGTATTTAAATTCGATTTCGAAAGAATTATTAATGCTTTAAAAATTTTAAAGATTATTATGTGAACATATACATTTACACCATTTACAACATTTACATTAATAAAACTTCGTTTATGGTTGGACTTCACGTCAATTTTCAGTGGTAATTTGTAGTTAACTAAGTAATAAATCGAACCTAATTTATATGAAACTTCAGATACCATTGTGACATGTAATTAATACAAGTGCTTGCGCAATCATCGTCAGGTAATTGATTGCGATGAACTCCATTACAACATCGATTGACGCGGTAAAAATTTACGCTCGTTCGCATTTCCCTTAACGGCACGTGAATGATAATACAGTCCGTGTGGAGCGGTTGCGGCTAACATGACTACGTAGCAATACAGTTAACATAATTAGCAGATACTATCGAGAGACATGATCGCGTCTCACGCCTAGTTTGCGCGAGAAAGCGCCATTATTTCCGAGTAGGTATTAATTTTATCTCTGAATAATATTACCACGAAGAATTCGCGATGATTACATTTTTCAAGGTCATAGAATCGCACAGAATTTATTCTAATTAAACAAATATAAGGTGTTAAGAAAAAGGCTCACCAAGTTTGAGAGTAGATAATACTGATAATGTTGACTGCAAAATTAGTAACCCCTGTATATGGAAATATTTTACGAAATTTCTAAGCAAATTTTTAATTATATAAAGTTCAAAAAATAATCTTATGCACACACACACACACACACACACTGAGAGATTTAAATGATATATATATATGCGGATATATATACATATATCCCTTTGTCAGCAATCTAGATCTTTCAAGGTACAAGGTGTCCCTTGAAGTTGCTGAAACTAATTAACTGTCATTTTCGAATGTATTCAGTTATTAAAAAAATAAAAATTGCGTTAAAAAGAGGAAAGTCTGCAGTTTTTAATGAGTATAAATAAAACTTAGCAAAATGTTTATATATCAGTTATATACGAAACTCACTATAAGCACTGCTATACACTTTTCCTTCAGAAAAGAAGCACTCGATAAGATATTCCTTTTCTTTCGTTGTCAGATTACTCATTTTTACGTGCACAGACTTACTTCTACCACAGTCTATCACAATCAGAATAAAACTGCGGTCAATTAACCGTAAGACCCTTTCTGAAGTGGAGAGGACTAATCGCACGAGCCCTGTACAGGCAAAAGTACTATTTGGTACTAAAGTACCAATTTTCTCCGACAAATAAATACAATAAAGTTCCTCTCCCCTAAAACATGGAAAATTGTTACAGTATTTTAGAGACATTCTAGAGATTTTTTTCGAAGTAACCAAAAATTTGTGTACATGTTTTTGAAACCTAGAACCTAGAACATAAAAAAAATATAGAGTGGAACTCCTGTGAACTTAAACAACCTAGATTGCTGATGGCGTTAGTAACAAAATGATTGCTGACGAAGGGATATATATATATAATTTAAATCTCGAAATATATATATATGTATATATAATTATTGTTCGATATCCGAAAGATGTATGGCGGATACATTTTGTAACCCTGAGGGAATCAATAAACAATACTACTACTATTGTTCGATATCCAGGTAAAATCTCTCAGCAAAGTCTTCCAGCATTCTCACTTTCCATCTATCATCCATCGGAAATTGTGCGTCACTTTATAAATAATGTACGCACAGCGTAGCAATTGGATAAAATTTTGCAGGCTTAGATAGTTAGATCTTTATCATCTCGTAGATCATTTGCAAATGACGAAGTCTGAATTCTGTATACAAGAACGAAACGTTAATAGCTTCAAAACGGCACCCTCTAGCGTGGATTTATTTTCAAGGTTTTCACGCGACAGTGAATCGGTACACCTACCTATCGAAACGCCCACGGCGTCTCTACCCTCGCGATCGCCACCGAAAAATTTCGAGCCGAATGGTGTCGCTGTTGTACGTTCGAGGTTCTGAGGAAAGTTCCAGAAATCTCCCGCGTGTACGCGCGAGAGAGTTCGCCCACGCTAGGGCACCATAAAAGTTAGGTTTAAATCTGCTCTCTACAGCCATCGTACCACCATCAGCTTCATCATCAGTGCATTCTTTTTTTTTATTTCTCTATTTCTCTCTCTCTCTCTCTATCTGTTTGTACTGTTCGTTTCTTCTGCATCTTCTTCTCAGTCTTCCTCTTCATCTCTTCCTCCTCTGCTTCTCGTCGCCATCCACCCGCGATCTTTGCCTTCTCATTCCTCTTCTCCGAGTTCACGTCTCGACTCCGCTGCCGGAGAAGGGGAAAGAGTGAGGCCTCCATACGGACCCGTCGCGACAAGCCACGTTGAGAAGGCCCAAGAATGCATGGACATTGTAGCATGGAAGGCGGTTGGCTGTGGGCCCCACGAAGGGGAAGCCTCTCGAGAGAGCCGGGCTTCCTCGGCGGAGAGCAGAGAACCTGCGTCGGGGGGGAGCCTTCGCGGGGCCTCGAGGGCCACTCTTGCGACCCGCCACGAGGACGAGGAGGGATAGGGGAGTAGCAAAGACCCGAGGTAGGGAAGTGACCGGATGGCCTTGGTCTCTACTGGTTAGTTACCGCGCGGCCGACTATAACCGGTCGCACCACAGGGTATCTCCGATTTCGACCGCTTTTTAAGACGTCCGAACCACGACTCGGCTACCAAGGCCCGAAGCGGGGAAAGAAGGGAAGGCGTGTCTGTTCGGCGGGGGGAGTTCGAAAGGGCGACAGGACACGCCGACGGATACGTAAGACGCTTACGCGTGCGTATAGTTCGGCAAAATGAAACGGCGAGAGTAGAATAATGAGATTTTGTGAAAATGTTTTTGCTCCGCACGATTGTACGTAGGAAAACGCATTGATATGATTAACGTTGCTCCGCAATCTTCTCTCATTTTTGTAGAAATTTTTATTTAAATTCTTCCTCTTACAATGTTCACCGATGAGGAGAAATTTTACAAATGGTCCTTATGTCAAAAGACAATACTTGCATTACGCACGATAAGACTTGTATTTAAAATATGTTAATAAACGATACATTATATTATTATGTCGTGCGAATTGCAATAGTTCTCATGTGAGAAGCCAATTAGGCTACCGAAACTCACAATTTAATTGCATTATGCATATCTTACGTTACATGTTACACAAATCAAAGTTTTTCACACGAATTACAATTCACGTTCATAAAGTGTACCACAAAAACCGATTCGTCACGGCCTGATCATTTAACGGCTTAATCGCAATTAACTAAAAAAGATCAGCATGCTTCTCACGCACGGTATTCCCCATTATTTGAACGTTGAGCGCTACCGCGATGCTCGATGCGTAAGAATTATGGTATTTACGCATGAATCACGTGAATTTGCATAGCTCTGAATAACCTTTGGAAATCGACAGATATACTATTGCGTAAGTATATATGCCGCTACGATTTGTCAGTCGTGCAAACTTACAGCCGCGTACATACACCGCAAAAATAATGGGAAATGAAACGCGATGTATTACGCGCGCTCTTCCGCTCTCGTCGTCGGCTTCCGTTCGTCGCCGTTTTTCGCGGAGGATCGACGCCTACGTCGTCATGTAAATTGCGAAATCGCGCTCGCGAGAGACTTCTTCTACATCGCCGGAGGGGGCCTTCTGTCCGGGGCAAGAATGAATAGCCTGGTTACTTACCCACCATCGCTCATTATTGCTCAACAGGGGCAACTTATGAGAGCGCAAGAAGGTATATCTACAATGCGAAGAAATATACAGGATGTCTCAGAAGTCGTGTGCTCTATCTGCATCGCACATTCTTGAAAATCAAATAAAAAATTACTATGATTTTATTTAGGCATCATTAATTTTTTTATCTTAAGCGATCGACAAAGAGATCTTTCTTAAAGAAAAATCTACATTAACCTCGGCAAGGAAACTGTTATTGAGAAAAAAATATGATGTTTTATACATCCTGTATAGCAGCGCGTCAATTAAACATCCTATCGAGCTCATAATTATCTCAGTGAGTTTGCGAAACTCTCATCCGCGGTATTTCGCGAAGGATCCCCGAGCGATTTCATCTAAGCTTATTATATATTTCATTATATACCTCACAGATCACTCAGCGACAGACGTGTTGAAAACATCGTCATTAAGAACTTGGTTGCTAACAGAGTTGCAGACGTGCAGCCAATTTGTAGCGACTAACTAGTTTATATTATTACAATTTTATCCCGCTTCCGCGCGTCTCAAAGATATAGCAATCTGTGAACAATCCGGAAGACGTTACTCGCTAAGCTGTCGACGAAATGGCGCATTAAGAGTTACTTCATAGAGTACAGCGATGCTTGAGTAACAATATTTTTTTCCGCGTCTCTGCAATCAGTGACCGACTAATGATGAAGAATATTAACTTCGTCGTGCGTGATGTACGTATGAAGTCCATAAGCGTCCGAGATCTGTGGATAGACGCGTTTATGCAGATTACCTTCTCGCTGTTACGATTTACTTCGGACCGCGGCGATAAATTAACGTGGCGTGATGAGTTCAGAACGTCGTGGGTCAAGGAACTGTTATAGGTTCCGACGCGTTTGTTCGAGATGCGTTATTATTTAGGCGTTACCGCGACCGTTCTTTTCCGCCTGAGGGAACCTTCGTGCGTATTCTTCATCTTCATTCTACGACTATGGAGGTGTAAACTGAATATGTTAAAAAATTCCACTCAAAATCTTTATTAAAATACAGCAAGAATGAGCGAATAAAATTTAATTAATGATCGCGCAAAATGTGAACTCGAAAGAAAATAATTTTTACAGTAATTATTTCTTAGCTCTATTTCTTTTGTAGTAATTATTTCTTTTGAAAGATTTATTACTTATTTTATTCATTTTTAGATAAGTACAATCGATATATTGATGAAAGATTGATTTTAATATCTTAAAGCAGATTTAATTGTGAATGATTAAGTGTGATTTTCTTTAAGATTCATACATTACATATATCTCTTACATGTAACTTAGCGTAATGTTCGTTAATTACACGATTTATATTCTTATGTGGAAAGTTGCCATGAAATCGGAGGCTCTAGTTACAACATGTTCGAATTCGAGATATGACAAAGCCCCGTCGCCATCTATGTCGCTCTCTTCCAGAATTTTTCGACACACGGTAGCTACCTCTTCGGTACTTAGCCCACCTCGAGTCAGCTGCCGACAGGTGCGTTCCAAATCACTCAGACCCAACACCCCATCCTCGTCGAAATCTGTTCAGGAAAGATCACAGATTGACAAACGGAAATAAAATATAAAAACATTTATGAAGATATTGCCAAGACGATACGCGAATATAAATGAGTTTTGGAATCGATTTTTCTTTATGACGAAAACACATATTCGTAAAATATTAATAAGAATTGAAATGGATATATAAAAACAGGATAAAAATGCAAGTTTTTTTACGGCGAAAGAAAAATTATCTCTGTCGGATGAAGATATAATTATGACGCTGCATGTCGGCAAAATCGATCGGTTGTTCCGTGCAAATATTCCTGTGCATCATGGATGTCGTGTCTGAACGCCGTATGTACTCCTCATCCCATGGAACAACTATAGGTACAGCGAGGTCGACCTCCAGGCTCTCTCACGGTTTGCTCGTCCGTCTGTCCATTTATCCATCCATCCGTCTAGTTCACCTGGTGGTCCGTACCGTAAATTTTAAAGGCGTAAAAGACTTTCAGATCCCGCGGTGCCTGTTCAGAAAATACGGACATCATCTCGAGAAATTCTTCAAAACATATTCCATCGGAAATGAATATCGACTGTCCTGATTCCTGGCGTCTTGTAAAAACCTCTGAAATTCGTTCTCTAAATGGGTTTTCCTAACAATATAAAATATATATTCTAATTAATTAAGAATGCTTATCTTGGTTTCTATATTTATAGAAATAATAAGAAAAAGATAAAAATGCAATAACAATCATACATATCTTTCTATTAAAAAATCTCTCATAGAAGTTTGTTAAAAATTTTCCATAGCACGAACATATATAGTACATATTGTATTTGTATTGTGTTTAAAATTAATATTTAATACTTGAAATAAACCTTTAGTTCAGGAATACGAGCTAAATATGACAAAGGTAAACGGAGAGACGACGCTTCTTGCGGTGTCATAGTACGCGGTATCATTCCAGGATCTCCTATTTCGCGAAATCTCTTAAATATTCTAGAAGAAAACAGAAAGAAGTTAGCCAAAGTAAAATTATATGCAATAATGCAAGCATAAAGATACTACCTCACGATTTCCTTGCGCGTAAAAAACGTGCAATCCTGATAATCTTCGAGTTGCTCTTCAGTGAAAGTTGCCACTTTGTTTCCCATCGCACTCTTTATTAATTTTAATATTCCTTTTTTAATTTTGATCCAGAGTATTATTATATCTTTTATTAAGAAATTTTTACGTATTGAATTTTTTTTACAAAGAAATAGATGAGATATACATATATTTATATAAAAAATTAAATTAAATAGAATTAAAAAACTTTTCAAATCGAATTAAAAGGAGCTGTGTTACATTTACGAGAGAACAATGTGGACTGAGTTTTCACATTCTCAATGTTCGATACGAAATCGTGCAATCTAATAACCAGGGTGTGTCCCGCCACTCCCATCTTTGGGGATGTTTCGATGTACGAGGGATTCACTTGTCCAGTGTTATTAATTACAACAACGATCGTTACACTCCAATGTCGTCGCGTGAATTCTTTAATATTAATTATATTAACCGTATTTATACATATGATACATATATAAATAGAAAAAAATATTATCAAGATTTCAATAATTATATAAAATAAATATACAAATATAATAAATTTATTATAACAAAATTTTATTATATAAAATACTGCATATCACAACTTATAATAAGTATCAGATAACTAAAATTATGTCAAATACATTATGATACAGTTTTTCGTTAAATATAGTGATCTTCATATGCTTCTTTACAATCAGCCAAATTATGAACACATTCTGTAAATTCATCTTCTTCCAATCCAGAATCCATAAAAGCATGAAATTTCTTGATGCTTCTTATCCTTTTAATTTGATTAAGTAGAGATTCGTACATTGCTGCAATACCATTACTGCTATGTAATCCAGCCATCGCCGCAACTGAATTCACATCTGAAAAAAAGGATAGTATCAGTTTATTGTTCAATCTCGATATTTGTTATACTAATAACAAGTTTTCATACCGGTTTCTACAGGGCAGTTGGTAATGTTTCCATTCTCAGTTA